TTTTTTTTTTTTTTTGGTTTCTTTGAGACAGGGTCTCACTATGTAGTTGAGACTGACCCAGATCTCACTATGTAGTCCAGGCTGGTCTCGAACTCACAGTGATCCTCCTGCCTCTGCCTCCCAAGTGCTGGGATTACAGGCTTGCGCCACCACACCTGGCTCGTGGCCATTTTCACTGTGTTGATCCTTCCTACTCCCAAGCAAGGGATTTCTATCCATTTTATGATATCCTCTTTGATCACCTTTTTCAGAATGTTGCAATTTTCAATGAAAATATCTTTTAATCCTTTTGTGAGATTGATTCCTAAGTATTTAATTTTTTTGATGCTACTGTGAAGGGTCTTGTTTCCCTAATTTCTCTCTCAGTGAGTTTGTTATTTGTGTAGAGGAATGATATTGATTTTTGAGTATTCACTTTGTATCCAGCTTTGCTACTGAATTTTGATTATTAAATCTGGAAGTTTTTTGGCGGATTTTGGGGGTCTTCTATGTAAAGGGAGAATAAGTAGAATGCTTGAGGATATAGGAGTAGGTAAAGACTTCACAAACAAACCTAGATTGCATGGGAAATACTACAAAGAATTAACAACTGGGACCTCATCTTATTAAAAAGCTTTTGCACAGAAAAAAAAATTCACCAACAGAGAGAAAAGATAACACACAGCATGGGAAAAATTTTAGCCAGTGGTTCCTCAAAGAACTAATATCTGGAACACATGAAGAATTGAAAAAAAATCAGCCTCCCCACATTGAATGATCCTAATCCAAAAAAGGGCATCTGAGATGAATACACACCTCTTAGATAAAGAAGTAGAAATGACAAATAAATACATAAAGAAAATACTCAACATCACTGGTCAGTTGAGAGATGCAAAGTAAAACAATGCTGAGATTCCATCTCAGTCCAGAAAAGAAGGCTATTATCAAGAAATCAACCAACAACAAATGCTGGCAGGACTGTGGGGAAAAAGGAACCTGTCTCCACTGTTATTGGGAATGTAGACTGGTGAAACCACTGTGGAAATCAGTGTGGAGATTTCTCAGAAAAACTAGTGTTAGCAGTCCCATTTGATGCAGCTGTTTCCCTTCTGTATTTCTTCCCAAAAGAATTAAAAGCATCATACCATACTGATATATGTGCACCCATGTTTATAGAAGCACAGTTTGTAATAGCTAAATCTTGGAAATAACCCAAATGCTCATCAACTGATTAATGGATTAAAAAGTGTTTTTTTTTTTTTTTTTTTTTTAATGTAATGAAGTACTATCTAGCCATAATGGTCAGAGTTAAGATATTTCTAGGTAAATGAATGCATTTGAGAACATGCTCTTAAGTGAAATAAATCAAACACACATGTGTAAATATTACATTGCCTTTCTGGTGTGAGAAACTGAAACTGTAAATAAATGAGAGCCACAAAGAATAATAGATATTGTGCAATAGGAAGCAATTATTCAAAGTTATACTGAATGTGAGATCCTTTTTTTTTTTTTTTTTTTTTTTTTTTTTTTTGTGGGTTTTAGAACTCTGGACCTTACGCTTTTGAGGCAGGCAGCGGAACCACTGAGCTAAATCCCTGGCCCGTGAGATACTATTTTAATAATTAAATTTTTTCTCACAACTGCAAGGTCCTGAGTTTGATCACTGGTTCTAATAATAATGATGATAATTACATTTTTGTGCCAAAAGGCAGAGTATTATTAGCAAATGAATTGGAGATAGATTAGTAAAGGAAAGTATATTCTTTTAAAATCATTAAGAAATATAGGTGAATGTAATGAGAGCTCTTATTGCAGAAAGGGCTTGGTCCTCAGCTGGCACTATTGGGATATTGTGGAATCTATAAGAAGTGAGACCAAAGGGGAAATCTTTGAGTCCATATCCTTCTTTTTGCTTTTTTGTTTTCTGACCAAGAAGTAAGTGGTTTTGCTCTACCAAGTGCTCCTGCCGTGAGGTGCTCCCATGGCAGAGATTCAGAACAATGAGACCTCCACCACTGTGAGCCAGAATCAATCCCTTCTCTTCATAAAAGTTAAGAAAATGCATTTCTTGCTCTCTCACAAATGAAAATTAACACTTAAAATGTCTTCCAGGTCATAAATCTATAATATCATGTACTAAAAGTATAAATATCAATAATTAAAAATAAGCATCCCAAGTAAATGAATTACCAGCACTCCACAGTTGCTAAGAATATCTCAGGAGCTGGGGATTTAGCTCAGTGATTCTGCTGCCTGCCTCACAAGTGGAAGGACCTGAATTCGATCTCCAATACCAAAATAATAATAATAATAATAATAATAATAATAATAATATAATATCTCAAAAGCTGAGAATTTAGCACAGTGGTACTACTGCCTGCCTCACAAGTACAAGGTCCTGAGTTCAATCCCAGGTACAAAAATAAACAAGCAAACAAATAAATAAATACTAAAACCAGCCAAATGAATATTTCAATTATTCATTAACTCTATCGATTTAATTTTTAAAATTCTGCTTTTACTTAGAAAAGTGAACATCAAAAATATAAATTAAATAAATCTACATCTCATTTTCATATACTTCTTTATATTAACCAAACAGAATTTACTGTTATTAGCCTTCATAGGCAAAGGCAAAAAGCTTAAATTTACCTTAATACGAACTTCTCCAGCCTTTGGTGGCTCAACTTGCACTTCTTCAATTGAAAGAGGAGAATTTTTTGCCCAGGCAATGGCTGCCCAGCATGTGATTGTCTGCAGATACAGGGAAAATAAAATGACACTTTATGGTCATATTTAATATTTTTTCTGATTATACAAATGACTGCTACTTCTTATAATTTGTAAAAATGTAAAAGTCATAAAGAAAAAAAATCACAGTTTCAGGAATATGCTGCTAAAATTTCAGCATGTTTTCTTCTAGTCTTTTAAAATAATTTTTGTATAGTTGAGACTTTATGTAAGCAGTGTTTATTTTGTTGTTTTGTTAATACTAGCTTTGTTTATTAAACAATTACCACTTCCTTTTTTATAAGAATATTTTATGAGCTCTTCAGCCCAGCACAGTGGAGGAGACTGGCGGTAGCTTGTGGCCCTCTGGTGGGCCCTCCTCCTTAGCATGGAGCAACAGAGGAGCATGAAAACAGTGGGAGACCTTCTGGTAGGTACCCCCCTTTGGCCTAGTGCAGCAGAGGAGCCCAGCGTGGGTACCAACACAGCGGTGTCCATGCCACCCACCCCGTAAACAAGGTTTGAAAGAGGGCCTCTCTGAGGCTCCTAGATGAAAATTGAAGCCCACTGGAAAAGTGAAGAAAATCTCTGCAATAGAGGCACACCACACCACCATAGTTTAGTAAGTCAGAGGGACCAGCACTTCACATTGGAAGCTGGTCTAACTTTGGGGAAAGACAGCTGCAACTTGCAGAGTTGAACCCAGTAGGAGGTCAGAGATCTCAGCTTAAGCCTTGCAGCCAGAAATCATCCTGAATGTCTGGGGACAGCTGCTGGCTTGCTGAGACTAACTTAGATCTGCACACTACTATTCATGCTGTCTATTGTGTCAACAGAGGCATACCTTGAAGGAGGCCCTCTATTTCTATTTGTACTTTTTATTTTCAAATTAATATTTTTCTCTTATCTTTAATCATTTAAAAAATTTACCTTTTGTTTTCTCAATTTTTCCCTTTTTAAATCTCTTTTCTTATCTTTTTTTCTATCTCTTTCTCTCTACCACCATGATCTTTATTACTCTCCCTTTTTGTTCCTGTTCCTAACCTAATTCTAATTCAGTTTCTTTTTCCTTCTCTCACTTTCCATTAGTTTTAAAAGAAAGTGATTACAGTCTTTAGCCTCTCTGTTGCTGTTAATTTGTTCTGTTCTTGTGTATATTTTGTTCTGTATTCTCTTCTCTTCAACAGCTTGCTAGAGTTTGTGTGATCTTCCTGTGTTCTCTGACCTCACTTCTAACCTTTCTCTATCCTAGCTACCCCTCCCTCCACAACTCCTTCTAAGTCCCCAACCTGAAGGGTAAATTTGCTATATTGAAGAGTTTATTCACTATAAACATATTTTGGTCTGGTCCTCAATTTTAATTCACACAGTTAAAAGAGATAGATTAGTAACTAGCACAAAATTTTATTTTCTAAGCTGTACTTGATACTATTGTGTTGCTGATTGCAACACTTGGGTTAAGGTGCTGTGATTGATCTAATCAGTATCCTTCCTGGTATAATGAAAATGATATTGCCTCAGAGTCATTACAGACTCAAAACCTGAAGACCAGCTATATCTGGAAGATTGAAATATTAACCCAGGGTCTACGGCCATACCACCCTGAACGCGCCCGATCTCGTCTGAAATATTAACCCAGGAATGAAACCAAGGACTACACAAAAAAGAAAATAGAAATGAGAAGACAGTTAAACAAGGCACAAACACAGAGTTCCACCTCATCAAGGGTAAACTCTGGGGGAAATGAGGTGGAAAAGTCTGACAGTCAACCATCTGGTCACCTTGAACTGATAGCACAAGAAGTAACAAAACAGATAAATGAGGCTCTAGAAAAATTCGAACCAGAAATAATTTCCTATATAATCACAAGATGGTGAAAAGAACGAAAGACATAATTAGAGACTCTAGAACAGGAACAGTTAAAAAAAATGGATGAGCTCAGGACTGTGATGGAAACCATGAATGCCCAGCATAGGAAAGAAATGGAAACCTTGAATGAACAACATAGGAAAGAAATGGAATCCATGAAGCACATTCAAACAGATATCCAGGAGATTAAAAACTCCATAGAAAACATTAGCAGCAGGATTAATGAATGTGAAGATAGCATTTCAGATATAGAAGACAGGATTTTGGTCAGTGACCATGAAAAGGCAGATCTCTTAAAAACAGTAAGGGGCCATGAGAAATTGATCCAACAACTCTTAGATGATGCAAAGAAGAATAATATAAGACTGATAGGAATCCATGAAGTAGAAGGAGAAAGTACAAACGACATAAAAAACTGTTCACAGAATCAATGACAGAAAACTTCACAAACAGAGGAGAATTTTACAGATAAGTGAGAAATATAGGACTCGAAATAGCCATGATAAAAAAATCTACATCTAGACATATAATAATCAAGATCCCAGAAATCCAATAGAAGAACAAAATACTACAAGCAGTTAGAGAAGAGAAACAAATCACATGCAAAGGAAAGCCCATCAGAATCATAGCAGACTTTTCAACAACAAACCCTAAAGTCAAGGAGAGCCTGGAGTGAGGTAATTCAAGGCCTAAAAGAAAACAACCTCCAACATAGAATGATGCATCCTGCAAAACTTTTAAAACTGATGGGGAAAATAAGATACTTCTATGACAAAGAACACCTGAGAAATTTCATGAACATCAAACCAGCACTCCAAGCATTTCTAAACAATACCCTGGAAAAAGAAAATGAAGGCCATAACTCCATAGGGCCAACAGAGCAATATATCAGGCAAGACAAGAAATTGAAGTGAGAGAGGGAAAAATAAAAAATAAAAGAACCAATAATAGGAAAATAATATGATAATGAAAAGTCAATATATAACAGTTATAACCATTGATGTTAATGCCCTCAGTTCACCAATCAAAAGAAATAGGCTGGTAGAGTGGATTAAGAAGCAAAATCCAACAATATGCTGTATACAAGAAACATACTTAATCTACAAAATAATTCATAGACTGAGAGTTAAAGGATGGAAAAGAGTTCTCCATATGACAAAAGCCCTGAAAAAAGTGGGGATAGCTATCTTATTGACAGACAGAGTAGATTTCAAACTAAAACTAAATAAGAGAAACAAAGAAGGCTACTAAAATCCTTGTAAAGTGAATGATACAAGTAGAAACAACAGTCATAAATATATATGCACTGAATACTAATGCACCCAACTATACTAAACAAATGTTAGTGGATATGAAAAATGAAAAAGCACTAATACATTTGTAGTGGGGGACCTCAATACTCCACTGTCAAAGAGACAGGTCATCTAGACAAAAAATCAGCAATGAAATAACAGAACTCAACCAAGTCTTTGAACAAATGGACTTAGTAGATGTCTACAGAGTGTTTCACTCCACAAAATCAGAATACACATTCTTTTCAGCGGCACATGGGTCGTTCTCCAAAATAGACCACATGCTAGCTCATAGAACATGGTTAAGTAAATGCAAAGGAATTGAAGTTATTCCCTGTACATTATTAGACCATAGTGCAATTAAACTGAAGATCAATAACATAAGAAACCACAAGAACTTCACAAACACATGGAAATAAATAACACTCTCCTGAACAACCATTGGGCCACAGAGGAAATTAAAGAAGAAATTAGACAGTTTCATTAAATGATAATGCCAATACAATATACAGGAATCTATGGGACACAAATGAAAGCAGTTCTACGAGGGGAATTCATAGCAGTAAATGTCCATACTAGGAAAACAGAGTGAGCTCAAATAAACACCCTAATGCTTAACCTTAAGCTCCTAGAAAAAGACCAAGAAAAACCAAAAGTTTGTACAAGGGAGGAAATTATAATGATCAGAGAAGAAATCAAAGCAATGGAGACTAAGAGAACAGTACAAACAATCAAGAAATCAAAGAGTTGGTTTTTTGAAAGAGTAAATAAAATTAATAAACCCTTAGCCAAACTTATCAAAAAAAAAGAAAGTAAAGGCTCTAATTCATGCAATTAGGAATGAAAGGGGTGAAATCACAACAGATCCACCAGAAATCCAGAAGATCATCAATACCTACTTTGAAAACCAGTGCTCTAATAAAATAGAAAATACAGAAGAAATGGACAGATTCCTAGATGCATATGAACTTCCAAAGTTGAATAAAGAAGACATAAAAAGTCTAAACACCCTAATTACAGTGAAATTGAAAATGTAATTAAAATGTTACCAACAAAGAAAAGCCAAGGTCCTGTTGGCTTCACTGCTAAGTTCTATAAGACATTTAGAGAAGAACTATCTCCACTATTCTTTAAACTCTTCAATGAAATTGAAAGCAATACCTCCAAATTCATTCCTGGAAGCAAGTATTACTTTGATTCCAAAACCAGGGAAAGACCCAACCCAAAAAGAGAACTACAGGCCAATCTTCCTAATGAACATAGACGCAAAAGTCCTCAATAATATAATGGCAAACAGAATGCAGAAGGTCATGAAGAAGATCATACACCCTGAACAAGTTGGATTCACCCCAGCCATTCAAAGATGATTCAGCATGCATACATCAATAAATGTAATATACTATATTAGCAGAGTTAGGAACAAAAATTATATGATCATCTCAATAGATGCTTAAAGAGCATTTGACAAAATTCAACACCCATTCATGATAAAAAACCTTGCAGAAAATTGGAATAGATGGTATTTATCTCAACCTGATAAAGCCTATCTATGAAAAACCAACTGCTAATATCATATTAAATCATCAAAAACTGAAAACCTTCACGTTAACATCAGGAACAAGACAAGGACGTCCACTATCACCACTCCTATCCAATATAGTTCTAGAAACATTAGCCATAGTGATTAGACAATAGAAAGAAATTAAAGTTATGAAGACAGGAAAGGAAGAAGTTAAACTGTCATGATTTGCTGATATGATACTCTACATAGAAGACCTAAAAAACACTGCCAAAAGACTTCTAAACTTAATTGACAGAGTCAATAGTATAGCTGAATACAAGTCAACACTCAAAAATCAATAA